CGCCCCCCCCCCCCCCGGCCAAACAAAATCCGCGGCCCTGCGGAGGATTCCACACAAACATCGCTCCCAAGGGGCAAAGCTGCGCGCTGGCCAGTAGCAACATGACATCTCGGCCGCGTCGTTCAGCAGCCAAGAAGGCTCATGAGGCCATCACTGACTGGGCCGACAGCGAACGGACACCCATCATGTCGACCCGATCACGGCGACCGGACGGCGCCTCGAGCGGCCGCACCTCGGGCGTCACCAGAGACCCGCCCTCCTCGCCCGGCCACGAGTCGCTCAACCTGACGGTCAAGGTCCCCGCCAACAAGCTGCGCGAGGCCACGTCCGGCAGGAGTCGCAACTCGGGCGCCGGCTCGCTCAACGCGCGCGAGAGCTTCGTCGGCGGCGAGATTATCGCGGGCAAGAGGAACCGCGGTGCCAAGAAGAGCTACGTCGTCGAGTCGGACAGTGACGAGGAGGACGAGGAGGAGGATGAGGAGATGGCTGATCTGGGCGACGATGACGACATGGAGGCCGACGCCGACGGTGACGAAGACGAGGAGGATGAAGAGGACGCCGATGGCGACGCTGATGGCGATGTCGACATGGATGCCACGCCTGCTCACCCCACGACGATCAAGATTCAGACGCCCAAAGCGAACAAGGTCACGGTGCGCCGACCAGCCGCGGCCCGTGTCGTCGAGGAGGAGGACGAGGAGGACGATGACGACGAGCTCAGTGATCTGGAAAGCGACGCAGAGGTCGACATGAGCATCAACGTCGGCGGCGTCGGCGACGAGGACGACGAGGAGGAAGACGAGGAGGAAGACGCAGAAGGCGAGGAGGAGGATGCCGAGGGCGAGGAGGAAGAGGAGGAAGAGGAGGAAGAAGACGCCGAAGGCGAAGCTGATGAGACGATGGACGTGACCCTCGCCGCAGCCGAGGACGTGGACAGCGACGAGGACGGCAGCGAATCCAAGGAACCCGACGTCAACAAGATGACGAGACGCCAGCGCGCCCGCTTCGAGGACGAGCCGCAGGAGTACATGAAGCTCTCGGACGAGGTGCAGGTGAAGAAGCACCTGACGGCCGAGGAGCTGTCGATGCGCCGGTCCGAGATGGCGCGAAGGCGTCGCAACCTCAGCGAGAAGCGCAACGAGGAAGTCAAGGTACGACGCTTCGTGCGCGTTGTCAAGAAGACTGGGGGCTCACTGACGCGTGTGACAGATGGAAACCATCAACAAGCTCCTCAAGAAGCAGGCGCCCAAGACGAATCGCAAGGCACAGGAGAACCAGGCCGGCGACGACAAGCCCGATGCCATGTTTGTGCGGTGGGTCAGCACCAAGGAAGGCAGCCGTATTGCCGTGCCGGACGAGATGCTCGGCGGCTCGGCGGGCAAGGTGTTTGGGGCGCCGGGATTGCGAACGGGCAAAATGGTCGAGGAGGTGCAGTGATGGGCTAGGTCATAGTGTGGGCGCCTTTGTACACTCGGGGGCATTGGTGGCGTGTACGGGACATGGTGGGTTAGTGAAAGCCAAGATACGGAGTACTGGTGAGATCACGAAGAGCTACATCGGTATCGACAGCATCAGGACAATGCAAAATGAACCATTTGCTTCTTATGCCTATGCACCCGGCAGGCTCTTGTGCTAACTGGCTTCATTGTCCGAGTACGATTTTCAGGAGCAACTGTCCATCGAGATGCCGATGTCGTGATCGATCGAGAGACGTCTGCCTGCCCTCGGGCAAAAGCGATATGAATATCTTGGCAGTCGGACGTCGAGAAATGCATGGCGAATGGAGCGCCTTGGCGAACCATGTCGCGTGAAGACCATGTTGCGTGAGAAGTCGTCCAGGCACGCCACTTGCAGAGCGATCTGGGCCAAGGAAGCTCTTCGCAATGACAAACGGCCACTCTCTGTAGACAGGCGAATGCCGCCCAGCCAGGGGACCGCTGCCGAACAAACTCCTCCGGGATGAGCAAGCGAATCTCTTCGGGGGAAGAGGGCCACTTGAAGATCCCTTGCCGTCCATCGATCTGTGTTTCTGACATGACTGTGGTCACGGCGGGGAACGATTGGGGATGCTGTGCCAGAGGCTGAAGAAGGATGAGAATGGCCAGTGAGATTCCAAACGATCAACAGGTATGACTAGGTAAGGTAGGCAGGCAGGGGAGGAGCTATCAGCTTCAAACTACACATAGAGCGCTTTTCCTGGGCCGAGACATCCCAACCCGCCATGCGACGTGGCTACAAGATACCACGATACCAGAGAGGTGCCAGCTCAAGACCTCCAAGAGGCCCAAACGTATTTGCGCAGCTTTCATGCATGCGCCTACGCGTGACTTGGTGGACAACGGGGGCATCAGGAACTGGAAAAGGCAACACGGAGGGGCCAGGATAGCCTCGTGACGACGAAGAAAACCTTGGCGATGCACAACTTGCGCTCTTGGCCAAGGACACCGCCGGCTGCCAGCCTCGATGGGCAAGCGGCCAGCGGCGGACGGCTGCTGCTTGTGCACTGGACCATCAAGATGCTCACGTGGGCAGATCACGGCAGAACAAGGGAAAGCCCACGATGAAGAAAGGCGGCACAGCCAGCCGAATGTGAGGTCCTGCATTCCACGCAGTGTCAAGCGCTGTCATCCTTGGAGCTCCCACCATCTGTCGCCGGGCTCTTGGCCCTCCCAACGCCCGCGTCCCCCTCGTCAATGCACGCCTGCACGTCCGCGCCGGCCGACGCCGGCGTCCTCCACACGACGAGCAGCCGCCGCGGATTTTCCACTGGCGCGGGCTCAGCGCCTTGTGTCGGCCACGAGGCTCGCAGCGGGCGACTTTCGAGCGCCGCCCTCGGAGTTCCTTCGTGCGGGGGGCGGGACATCCTTTTTCTTCGGCCCCCGGCGGGGGCCGGGGGGGGGGGTCCCCCGGTCCCGCGCAGTGTTCCCTATTGGCGAAGCCCCGGCCTGAATAACTTCGCAATAGGCCCGGT